ATTGCCTGTGAGTGGCATCTTATCATGCTTTTGCTCTCACTGCAGGAGGCGCCTGCTCACTGCATCAACCTGCTGCTGATTATGAGGCATTCTCATCACCGTGTGGATTAACACAGAAGCACATTTATTTGCAGAGAGGTGTTATTTGTACGAAAAAAGGCACACACACAAAAATACCCACACACGGCCATCTTGCTCCTAGTTCTTCTTTTATTCTACATAGACATGACAATGTTTGGACAAATGGTCTTCCTCGCAGTAGAGCTGAAGGTGTGAGCGTGTGTGTGTGTGTGTGTGTGTGTGTGTGTGTGTGTGTGTGTGTGTGTGTGTGTGTGTGCGTGTGTATGTATAGATGAGCTGTGATGACAGATCACTAATAGTGATAATATACATGTGAAGACAGTATTCCCAGTCATTCAATTAATGAATATTAATCACTGTTCATCACTCTGATGAACAGCTGATTTCTGACTCACAGTGTCAGGAACAATTCCTGTGCAATAACCCAGTAACTCGGTCTCTAATCAACACCTGTTTACTGGTTTCCACTTATTATTTATTTATTCACCATTCTCTATTTCAGTGCTGTTCATACTATGTCATATTGTATATCCTGTACACCAATACACCTACCTCAGGTCATTAGGTCATAGGTCTTATTTATTTTTCCTGCATCCTTTGCACTATGCTCCATCACACTGTGTACATGTGTACATGTATGTGTACCTGTATATCATATCCACCTTCTACATGTACATAATGAGAATAATAGTTTACTCTTGCATCCTTTGCACTCTGATCACTGCACTAGTTGTCAATATTTCTATATTGTTTTGTTCATAGTGTGTATATTAGTGTTGTCTATACTGTAGTTTGTGTCTGATTTTATTTTATTAGTATTTTATTATTGTGTTATGGTATTTTTGTACGTGTAAGCAATGTACAATCCTGAGTCAAATTCCTCAAATGTGTACACATACCTGGCAATAAAGCTGATTCTGATTCTGATTCTGATATCATCATATCAATTTGACATTAAAGGTACAGCATTACATATATCAATGCATGCTGGTGTTACTGTGTGTCCTTAAAGAGGTGGTATTATGCTAATTTTCAGGTTCATAATCTTATTTAGGGGTTGTACCAGAACAGGTTTACATGGTTTAATTTTCAAAAAACACCATATTTTGTCAAACTGCACATAGCTGCAGCTCCTCTTTTCACCCTGTGTTGAAGGCTTTGTTTTAGCTATGGAGTGATACATCTTGTCTGTAAATGATCTTTGTTGGGAGTTGCACATGCAGTTCCTAGATAAGGACTACTAGCCAATCAGAAGCAGAGAAGGGCGGGTCAGTGAGAAGCCGGTAAACAGCTTCGATTCAGCTGTTGGCTACATGTTGCTGACTTGCTTGGCAACATAGACTGGAGCAAGAGTTTCAGAGTGGTGAGTTATTAATCTGTAACAAAAGTATTTTTCATCCATAAAGTTAACTGAGCTCTGTCTCTACATCACAGTAACAACTTTATGTCCATTGACTGCTTGGAGGCTAGCTAGTGTTTGGAAGGGAGAGGAGAGGCAGCAGGCGGACGTCTTGTCACTGTGTGCTGCAGCAGCTGAGTGTGTTTTTAAACCGGTGTTTTTGAGGGTGTGTCGGAGTAGCAGCTTGGTGAGCGTTAAATGACACGGGAAACGGCTGGACTACAAACAAGCTGTCTTCAAGCAGTTCAAAGCAGAGTTTTCTGTGGGAGATGGGAACTCCCTTTGGGCTGGACTGTGGGCTTTTTCACTTTACCACCTCTATAATGCTGCTATATGTAGTTTTCCAGAGCCACTAGTGGTGCGGTTTTTAGTAGCAACCTGGTGTGTGGTTGTACGGGGGCTCGAACTCATGAGGGAGCAAAATCTGACACACCGGCAGACAGCTTCACACAACATGCTGGAAACTCAGGTAAAGTCCCACTGCAACGATAAAGTGATATTTTTATCAGCTTAAGGATGAACTAATCCATGTTTATTACATGATAACGTTACATTGACTGCATTTAGCAAACGTGATACATCGGTGTGAGCTTGCCTGCCAGCTTTTCAAATCTATTTGTCTCTGTTTCACCAGAGAGGCTCTGCAGTGTGAGCTCTGCTAAATGTATTGGATGATAACAAAAACAGATAGTAAGCTAGAATGATTATTATAGATGAGATTGTGTCCACAATTTATAACAGTTATACCGCAGTAAGTAGCTTTACTGTAGGGGATGGTTCTTCCACTGTGGTGTTGTCCTGCTTCGTTATGTTGCATTATTGGAGGAGAAGATGTGTACCTGAGTATCGGTAAAAAGACAATAAATCTAAATTAATTGTTATCCCAATCCAATCCATTTTATTTATATAGCACATTTTAAAAAACAAAGGTTTACAAAGTGCTGCTCAAGGAATAAAACAATGATGTTATGAACAAACAGCGGCGGATCTGTGCTACCGTTAGCTGGCTGAGCCTGCCTTGCATCACTCTAGGCTAGTATAAAGAAATTGCCCCACATTTGATTTGTACCGTTACATCATTTCTTGCAGGCTAAAATCAACACTTTGACATAAGACTGGTGGTACAGAGGATAGTAATATGGGGGGTCGCCTTAGCTAAGTTATAGTACTTTGCACCAGATAACGTTAGCAACTGCTAGACATTAGCCAGCAAGCTAACGTTATCTAACTTGTGCCAACTAAAACACAACATCACAGTATATTTCACATGCTTTGCACTAATGTTAGTTTACCTGTCCAACAGGATGGAAGCCAACTCTGTGTTGGTTTTGCAGATTTCAAAACAAGTGGAGGTCTCTTTGGGATTCAAGCCTTTCCAATGTTGACTGTGTTTTCACCGAAAGTCAATCTGATTCTTGTTCGGCCTGAAAGTTCAAGGCCTTGTGTTGGAGTCTGTGTTATTCTGTTAGCAGGTCACTTTATGGTGTTAGCGGACTCCATGTTGTTACCTGCAGTGTAGTTGCTGTGTATACGGTACAGATTCAGCAGGAAATAGAATCGGGAGCGCAGATGCACATAACATCCCGGATGAGTTAATCAATCATCATGATGTGTCAAATACTCAAGTACCAGTAACCACAACCAAGTCACTGTGAGTTGATGTGATTAGACTTAGTGTATCATCAATTAATGATGTTGATGATGTTATCTCACACTTTCTTAATACATTCATTTATACCACTAAAACAGAGGTCATCATAGAACTATGATTCTGTTTTGAGCCATATGCATATGCAGAATATGCATGGTTGTATTAATTTTAGCTGCTGTAACTCACTAATGGGGGGAAATGTCATCTGTCTTTGGAATTTAAAACAAACTGTTTTATAAATTAATTATTATTAAATGTATAAATAAAAGAAACAAAACTTACTGAAACCATACATTAAACAATGTAGGCTACTATTGTTCATGACAGTAAATGGGACTGTAGCGTGATAAAACAAAGTGGTCACAACATTGACTTGATGTCTAAACAATCAACAGCACAACTATAATCACATTGTCAACACGAGTTCACTTCTTTTCCTATGATTACTCCCAGTGTCACAATCTTCATGAACCTCCTCTCGAGCCATCTTTTCCCAGGCCCTTCTGTGCTATTCTCCACATATCCACCAGATGCCCTTGACTTTCTCTCCTTTCCCCATCACCTGACTTCTTTATCTTCTTCCCTTGTTCCTTGCCAGATGTTATGTTGTGTTGCCGTATGCACCATCCTGCTTTGCTAGTCCCTGTACTTTTTTTCTGTTTCAACTGATTTACCTGAGACCTGTTACCTGCCTGTTTAGAACCATGGTTTATGTTTTTGGACTTTGCATTTTCTGCCTGTCCCTTGGATTTGTTTGCCTGCCTTAGACTGCTTTTCTGGTTTTGACACTTGCCTTTCAGATTGAATTTGGGTTCTATCCCCTGTATTCCTTTTACCTTGCTTGCAGCAGCCGTGACATCTGGTCTTCACTCAGGGGTTTTTTTATATATAAAATCTCACAGTGTAGTGGAGAGATGATTACATCTGCAGTAAAAGTGTGCTGCCCCAGTGATTGGGGAAGAAAGAGGTGCTCTGTATTAGTGTCTCCTCCGGTCCCTACCTCCCTGCTTCTCTCTCTCTCTGAGGCCATTAGGAATCATGGCTCTCTCCTGCATCATTAGATTAACTCCCATGGTCTGCCAGAGTGTGCAGGAAGATCATACTCATTACCCAAGCTGCTCGCCTTTGTTGAGTGCACAAAAACACGCTTTTACCTTGTAATTTGAGTCAGACGGGCTCATCATGGCAGGAGGCAACAGCGAGATATGGAAGTGCTGCTGCCACTATCGACTGATATTCATGTCGTATACGGCCTTGATTACACAGGCAGATTTAGAGTGCACACTTGGCAGAGGCGATGTTCCTGGCGACATATTAGGCACATTAGTTCCCCCCGACTTCTGCCTGCTAGGGCTGGAGGGATTTGGTACACCGTTGTCACAGTGGTAAACAGAAACATTTACGATAATAGAGTTCTTAAAAGAGTAGATGCATAACTCTCTGCCGTATTCCTGTCACAGTGCTGGTTTTGTCCCTTTTCAAAAATAACTCTGTGGCCTGTTGGTCCCTGTGGAACGTAAATCGAATGCACACTGGTGTCCCGGGACTACAAACAGGAAAACGACCTTGATATCAACAAGGATTGAATCACTTATGTAATCAGGCAGGAAATAAGATCTCATTTGTGGGCAGGGGAAATTGTTCATAAAAAGATGAAAAACAGCATTAATTGCCGAGATCCTGTACATACGTAGGGCTAAATTGTTGTTGTAAATGATTTGCTCATCATTCAACATGCTAGAGAATCCTCCTGCAGACAGTAAAAAATGTCAAATGAAATGAGAGAATAGCCCTGGCAGCTTGTTTTTGTGCTGCTGACAATGTGGGTCTGGATTTCTCTTTAAATAAAGACTCAACAGGCCGTGTACATCACAGAAAACACTTGTTTATTTCTGGTCTGAGAACAGAGAAATGACAAAAAGTTACATTCCAGAGAACTTCAAGTTGGACACTTCTTTTCATTGCTTATGGGACAGTTGAGTAATCACTTTCCTCGCCTGAATGTCAAACAACAGCTTAAGAGAAGCGATCATTGCGTGAGTGATTGAAGCAGTCAGGTTTGTTCTGAAAACTGTGTCCAGACCAATATATATATATATTTATTTATTATTATTATTTTTTTTTATTTTCAGCACACAAAGCCACAGTGCTATAAATCAATCAATAGGAATGGCTTAAAGTGAAGGGAAAAAGGGAACAGAAAAATGTGTTTCTGCCTTCAAATAATTTAAGAACATCTAAAGCCTCTATGGTTGACTGGAGAGGGACCTGCTGTGCTTTGAAGAAGATGGAGGGCGACACTCTGGGCTGTTTCCACTTTTATAACGAGGATATTTCTCCAGAGAAGCATTCTGGGTAAAGGAAAAGATAAGTAAGTTTGATACTTCACTGCCCTTAATCTATTAAAGATCCCACTTACAGAGGACAACACAGTACAAACTGCCAAGAGACGCTGATAATATCATAATAGTATAATTTAGATTTACTGTCAAATTTGTAGATTATTGACTAATCTATCCAGTCATATTATTACAGTCAATATTTTCAGCTAAATGACTCACCAGCTGTCTCGCCATGGACATGAGGACAGCCTCCACATCTAAAACCCACATCTGTGTGGAGAAGAGAGAAGGAAAGACGGAGGAAAGGGGGGTAAAAGGAAAGCGACAAATTAAGTATTTCATCATTTAGAGAGATGTTGCATAGTGGAATTGGATCATGCACCTTTTGATCACTGCCCAGTTCTGAGCAGAGTGGTTTCAGATTTTGGTTGAGAAATTATTAAGCAGGAAGTGCTAAACATCCCTTCTAACAGACAGGTTTTTTAGTTTAGTTTTAGTTGCCAAGGATAGTCCTCTTTGATCGCTGTAAAAACTGTTAATGACACGGTTTAGTCTAGAAGAAATATTTTCCTCCGTATCTGGTCAAATGTTTGAAGGCACCCGAAAACCTCCATCCATCCATCCATCCATCCATCCATCCATTGTCAACCCGTTATCCTGCATACAGGGTCACGGGGGGCTGGAGCCAATCCCAGCTGACATTGGGCGAAAGACGGGATACACCCTGGACAGGTCGCCAGTCCATCGCAGGGGCACACATACACAAACAACCACTCACACTCACATTCACACCTAAGGACAATTTTAGAGACACCAATTAACCTAGCCTGCATGTCTTTGGACGGTGGGAGGAAGCCGGAGCACCCGAGAGAACCCACGCGGACACGGGGAGAACATGCAAACTCCACACAGAAAGGCCGAGGCACCCGAATTCCTAGGCCTTTAAACTTATTTTCAGCTTTTTACAGTGAATGATGAGGCCCTACATTTTGAACAGGCCACTTTACATGAGAGATTTTTATTTTTTTATCTTTTCTCCCTGGTCTGAAGTGGCTGTGGCTTAATTGGAAAAAGGTGATGTTGTGTTTTTCTGTGGTACTGCACTGCAGCTCAGAATTGTTGATTTTTTTTTCTTCTGTAAGCTGTGATGTGTACTTCATTGTATGGTACTTCATGTATGTCAATAGAAGAAGAAGAGAGTCTTCCAACATTTGTATCAAAATCTAAGACTGTTGGTGGGTTGTTTGTTTGTTTTTGTTAACATTAAAGCCAATCTAATTTGATCAAACCACACACACACACACACACACATAAACACGCGGTTATTAACTGAATTTTGTCTGTGCCAACAACCAATGGCGTCAAAGTAAAGTCTTTTAATGGACTGATCTTGAATTATTTTGTTCATACAATGGACACACAGATATGCAATCATTACATGGTGTCCCACACAAGGTCATACAATATATAAGCACATGCTGCTTCTGATGATTCAATTTCACTGATTACGGGTGCATTTATTTTTTCAGCTCCCATAGCAACGGGACTCAATATGACAAGTCATGCAAGCTTTTCATTTTTGTACATACAAATACTTAATAGAGCCATTGCACGAATATGCAGCACAGTTTAGAGATAAGTAAAGGAGTACTGACACCTATTGATCAGCTGGACAAATAGAGGTGCTGTAGTATATAGAATACATAACTAAATGATTTAGTAATGCCTGCACTGTGAGAAAACCATGCACACAGCAGTTCACAGCTAAATGTGCAACAGCTGTAAGAAAGACTATTCCTTGAAAACAAGACCACACAATGTTCAGGTGACTGTGAGTGAAGTCAGAGAGAGAACGAGCAGGACAGAACTGACTCAGAGGTCAGAGACAGTCTTACTCTGTGGTTTTGTCTCTTCTCTATGCTCCACTCCCGCACATCCCTCCAGTGTTCTGGCAAACACACCTCATTTACCCAGCTGTCTCCCCTCCTAGCCATGATGAAGTCCTCCGTCCACACAGTGTGTCATCAAGCCTGTAAGCTTGGACACTGCACTGACCACGGCCACCCCCTGAAGAGTACAACACAGTTTCCTACAATGTAATTTGACTCTAGAAACTGATACTCCTCAACACAGAGGCAAACTGTGGCTGGTAACTGTGTGCAGGATTGAAACTGTTCTGTTAGTAAGATATGGTGCGGGAGTGTAGATGATGTGGCAACACTACAGTCCCATTATCAGTCAAATAAAACTGACAAAATACACATGTTAAAATTCGAGATTACCTATTACCGTGGTGTTTCCGATGAATGGAAAATGTTTCAGCTAGCATTGTGTTATAAACAGGTTTGCTCAGTATATTGCATGCCTTACCTGTTGAACATGTACCTTTTTTGCCTCACAAAAGACAATACAGTGTAGTGAAGACGAGACAAAAGCTGAAGAGAAGGGTTGCACTCCAGTGATAAAAAAAGCAAAAGAATGACCTCATGTCTTGATCAGTGTCGGGAGTTTTGACAACTTAAGTGCTGCCTTTTACCGGAATTTGTTTTGGGGATACAGAAACATTGAGTTTAATGAAATAATTTATTTATTTAGTTAGTTACTTAGAAATGAGCTACTGTTCATAATTTCTGTCACACTACCCAACAGAAATGTTGCGCAGGAGAAGCTCACCTGTTTGCTTTTATGAACTAAAAAAAACTCAGAGGATATTTCAGAGCTCTTGGACTGCATAAGATTATACAAGTATACCTTATAAACTGTTAAGTCAGTGTAAAGTCTGTTCACCTCTTATATGCTTCCTTTAGGCAATATTATTAGGGAACACGGCATGAACTTTCATTGTTATGCAGATGATACCCAATTATATCTATCGATCAAGCCAGATGAAAAGCAGTTAGCTAAACTTTAAAAGTGCCTTCAGGATGTTAAAACCTGGATGACCTTCAATTTTCTGATGTTAATCTCAGACAAAACTGAAGTTATTGTCCTTGGCCCAAAACATCTCAGACTCATTATCTAAAGATATAGTTACTTTAGAAGGCATTGTCCTGACCACCAACACCACAGTGAGGAACATCTGAGTTATCTTTAATCAGGATCTGCCTCCATGAAACAACATTCAGGGATCGCCTTTTTTTGTTTTACTTATATAAAGTTGCGAAAATCGGGCACATGCTGTCTCAAAATGATGCAGAAAAACTAGTTCACGCATTTGTTACTTCTGTGTCTGGATTATTGCATTTCTTCATTATCAGACTGAATACGTCCCTTAAGAATCTCCAGCTGATCCAAAATGCTGCGGAACATGTACTGACAAGGACCAGGAAATAGATCATGTTTCTCCTGTTTTACCTTCTCTGTATTGGCTCCCTGTAAAATCCAGAATAGAATTTTAAATCCTTCTCCTCACCGATAAGATAAATGGTCAGGCTTTATCTTATCTTAAAGAGCTTACAGTACATTATTATGCTACAAGAACACTGCATTCCCTGAATACAGGGTAACTTGTGGTCTCCAAAAGTAGAATGGGAGCCAGAGCGTTCAACTATCAAGCTCCTCTCCTTATTCTCTCATTATTATTACTATAGTAGGCCTCCCACCCTAAGTCTAGGTTCTGCTTGAGGTTCCAATCTGTTAAATGGGAGTCCTTGTCGCTAAGTGCTTGCTCATGGTGGGAATTGTGTCTCTGTAAATAATATTACAAAGAGTACAGTCTAGACCAGCTCGTTATGAAAAAAGCAATGACAGACCTGTCGTAAATTGGTGCTGTGTAAATAAATACATTTAATTGAATTAATAAAATTTAATTAAAGAAGAAGACCTGCAAAGAACAGATTGCCCTCTGATGAATTTATTGAAAAAAAGCTGTGGGCTGACTGACATCCGAGATTGTCACAAAAACAGCAAAAAGTGACACAAGAAAACAGTATATGCATTACCTGAGGTGGATGACTGGTAACACACTGAGCCTCACTTCTCTTTGCCGCTCTGCACACACGGCTCCCCTGAGTCCCCCGAGTTCCCCGAGTCTTTGGGAAAGCTGAGAGGAAGAAGAGATGGAGGTGAGGAGGTCAGAGTGGACAGAACTGTGTGTTACAATCATAGACTAAGATTATAATGAATGGTGTGAAGGAGAGAATGATGAGAAACACTTGGTGGTGAGTGAAGTAATGGTGGTGGGACAACTATTTACGTTGCAAGTCAGGGAAAGTAATCAGCTGTCAAACAGAGAGAGAGTAGGGTTATGTGTCACACAGTCTAAGACAGAGGAGCACTGGTCACAGTGTGTGTGTGTGTGTGTGTGTGTGTGTGTGTGTGTGTGTGACTATTATTTTGGCATCGCTTCAACAAAACCTCCTAATGATTTGAATATTAATGCAGAGTGAAAATAACCCTGTTTTGAGGCGGTTTATTCTACACTTTTTGGACCAACAGTCATGTTATTCCCAGAGTTTGTAAAGCGGTGCAGCTAGCAGGAACAATTACTCGGAGAGCACACAGAAAACAAATAGGATTCCCTGATGATTTTTAATCCCGTCAAGAAAAGAAAAAGGGTGAAAAGTTCATTCTGCAAATGCTACTGAACAATTGTTCCACTGGTTTAAAATCATTGCAATGTAAAAACAACTTACAACAATGGAACAGAAATGTGAAACTTGCTTGAAATCTGATTTTATTTTAATCAATATTACATTATTGTTTCCTAGTAATTAATCTGCTTTATGTCAGAAATGTCAAAATATGTTTATGGTAGCTCAGAAACAGCATCTCCATTACATAGTTTGTCCACCAGAGAGCACTGACATCTTTAGTTTAAGATGGTGAAGATAGTAAACATTACCTGCAAAAACATCAGCAAGATTGCATTGTCATTGTGAGCATGTTAGCATGATTACACAGAGCACCTCTGGTGGCTGTAGTAATTATGTCGGAAGCATTAGCCACAAAGTCTGTGAAGGGAGGAGGCCAGAGATGGCCAAAACACCAGGACTTTCACCCTGGAGACTGGTGTTTGTGTCCCGTGTGAAACCAAAAGCCAATGTTAAATTATTTTTATTTGCGTAAGTAAGTTAAGTTATGTCACGTGACTTACTAGCTAAACTTATGCATTTTAACTCAAACCATGAACTTTTCCTAAACCTAAGCAAACAGAGTGTTAATTATTGTTATTATGATGATGAAGGTCCAGTGCACCTGTCTCTGGTACATGTCTCTGGTCATATATGTAGTTTTTGGGAGTCATTGGCAAATTACCTATTCTGTAATTTTGGTATGAG